GCCAATCATATTTTATGAACAACTAAATAACCAAGAATAAAGTGAATGAATAAAAATATAAAATTTAATAATATTAAAGTGTTAGAAAGGTATAAACCGAACAAAAAGTTTTCTTGATCTAAGGATTTCCAAGGATACGTACATACAACCAGACAACTAATGCAGTTTTACGAAGGTTTTGACAAAAGTTGGACAATTTATTAAAAAACATAAAATGAAATAATGTTTTATTATAACTGCTTCTATTCGATAAGCATTTCTGCAATACTTTTCGCGTGAATCCTGTAAAGAGTAAAAAGTGAGTAACAACCAAAAAGTTCGGGTACAATCTTACAACTTCATTCTCTACACAACTCTCCAAAAATCATGCTCTCATTTACAGGATTTTGGAGTACGGGATCTTTTTTCCTGTATCTTCCTGCAAGTTCGTGTAAAAACCTGTATGTTCATGGAGTACTGGATCATAGAGCTACAAAACTATCGATCGTATCGATAGTTTCCAATGTCAGATCACTATCGATAGTTGTAAATACTATCGAGTGATGAAATTCCCATTTATCTAAAGTGTCAAATTTGAAGAATTTGGGGCTGGCAATTGATTTGTGTAAGGAATATTAAAAATTTATCAAATGATTAGTTTTCTTTGGTAAAGAAAGAGAATTCCCTCATGTATTATTTCATGGAGCTTCACGGCCGGTTTGTTAAAATAAAAACAAATTTTATTTTTTCTCCCTCACTTACATATGTATATGCGTAAAGTTGGTTCTCCATATACAAAAAAATTTCAAAAAATGAAATTTACCTAGTAAATTTATTTGATACTATCGATAGTTATTTAGATCTAAACGATATTATCGACAGTTTTCCTTAAAATATCAAAACTATCGAATGGATGACTATCGATAGTTTTGAGGCTCTACTAGATCAGAGCTATTAATTTGGTATCACAGTCCCCTTTGTTTGGTAGCGTTTTTTATTATTATATTAAATTTCGAACGCTATCCCAAAACTTGAACTGAAGTGGATGAGAGCTCTGAAAACCTTAATTCAAAGTGACAATCTTAAAATATATACATATGTATGTATGTACATATGTATACTAATTATTTTCATAAAACTATTTTTAAACTACCGATGTGTTCCGAAAGTTAATCGAATTAGAGCGATAAATTAAAGAAATTTACTATACATGAATATTTAGAAATGCAAAAACTCCAAACGCATTTTTGTTATTTTGTTAACTTTTTGTATTGAAACGAGAAGCATGGAGTACCTACAAATTGAGAGAAACGCAGGACTTGGAATATTAGTAGAAAATTTCGAAGCATGAAAACAACGGTATATTGCACTGAGAAAAATGGTAGGTGCATGTTATGAATGTAGTACATATGTATGTTGGAGGTACACATGAAAACTTAACTAAACGTTGTTCAAAAGGCATACCACTAACTTTAAAATTGTATTTCAAGTTAATAAAGGTTCTGAGATGCAGTTATTTTTGAGAAGAGTTTTTTTTTGAACAACAGTAAATTTCAAGTCCCCACCTTAACAATTTAATGATAATGACATAAAAATTAAAAATCTACTGCACTGAAAACTTAAAAAGTTGATATGAAATTTTGAAATGGATAACAACTTAAAGAAAAAAAACCAACTTGAAACATAAAATAAAGAATCCAAGCCGAAAAAGGACAAATTAAACTATGTTTATAAAAGACGTAACTCAAATTGTAAAAAAAAACTTTGAAAAATAAATCTACATAAAGATTATAATATTTGCTGTTTTCTTATGTTCATCCACCCGCCCAACGTAGACGAGAATGCGTTAGTTTTAGAAATTTATACAAAACTTTCGCATACAAAACTGTTGAGAATGTTTTAAACTTCCCATAATATGTAGCTAGAAATATGTAGCTTGTGCCTGTGGTGCTACTTTCTGGTTAGCCAGTTGACATTGGTGGCGGCAAAGAAAGACGCGTTAACCTCTTTGACGGCGAAGAAAAACGCATAAACTTATTTTTGCGGTCAATTATGTTTGCGAGTGTAACAGTATACGAATTTTTTCACGCTTCCTTTTTTGCCGTCAAAACACCCGAGCGTCGTCATTTGTGTGACGATATTATTATCATTATTAATAAGTCGGAGATACTCGCGTTGCGACTTAAGATGATATATTTTTTACTAAATCCTAACTGTATTCACTCCAACCAACTCCAACCATAAGCTATTTAAAGAGCTCAGCTATTTGAACATCTCTGGCAAGTCTTTCGACTTCAACGGGAATTTTTGCACACGTTTGGAAAAGTCAAAAAATTAAAAGGAAGTGTCCCTCCAAAATTCATCGAAAAATGTATCACTTTTGATCCACTTGGCTCAAAACGGTCAAACTGCTAGTACAGATTCAACGCAATTAATACAAAAACAGGTATAACAGTGGTTTTTTTTAGTTAGTGTACATAATGACGAAGAAAAAAATGTTTGCACTAATTGGAGGACTAATTGTCCTTTGAATTAATTTATGCAAAAAAAAAATTAACAAATTTTTGTTTCGAGTTGGTCGCACTTAAGATATAGGTGTGCGATATAAAGTATCGTGTGCTACCCGCCTAAACTGGTTACCAATCGGAATTAATTCCTTCATATTACCCTGTAATGTCATGCCAGAACTTGGCTGCACTTACTTTTTTGACAATCGGTTTGTCAAATTAGTATTTTTTTTTTGCTATATCTGACGCCTGTCCTCATTGCGATTCGTGTATATTTTGCAGTTTATATGAGAAATCATAAAATTTTTAGCAAAACTAGACATATAATAGTGAAAAAGAATCAATAACACTGCCTAATATACAATACACAATTCAACAAAATGGTGAAGCTAACGCCGGAACTCATCAATCAATCAATGCAGTTTATAAATCCCTGCAGGGAGCGGGAATTGGATTTGCGCGGCTATAAAATACCACAAATCGAAAATTTGGGTGCCACACTAGATCAATTCGATACAATAGACCTGTCCGATAACGATCTGCGGAAATTAGATGGTATTCCGTATTTGCCGCGGCTGAAATGCTTACTTCTCAATAACAATCGCATCCTGCGCATTGGTGACGGTTTGCAAGAGGCAGTACCGAATTTGAGTTCAATTATTTTGACTGGTAACAATTTGCAGGACTTGAGTGATTTGGAGCCACTTGTGTCACTACCTCGTCTTGAAACACTCTGTTTACTTGTAAATCCAGTTTCAACAAAACCCTATTACCGCGAATATATGGCTTTTAAGTTTCCCCAGCTGCGTTTGCTCGACTTCAGGAAGATAAAAAGAAAAGATCGCACTGAAGCTCAAGAATATTTCCGCACAAAACAAGGCAAAGAAATGTTGAAAGAAGTGGCAAAGAAATCGAAACTTAATGCATCCGCGGCTGCGGCGGAAGCGGGAGGTAAAGTGTCTGCTGGTAATACAACGCGTATGGCTAATCCAGAAGATCTGCAACGCATCCGAGATGCAATTAAGAGAGCAAATTCGCTACAAGAAGTTGAGCGGCTTTCACGTATACTGCAAAGTGGTCAACTACCTGAAAACTTTGAGCTCGAATTAAGTCAGAATGGCACGACACCAAATGGCAATGTGACTGGTGGTAGTGGAATGGAAGCTATGGACTATTAGTGAAAATCGTTTCTAGGATAGTTGGTATGAAATAAAATTTCGAGTGAAAATTTGTGAAGTTTTGTAATAAATACCTAAATAGTAAAAAAGATACACAACTTTTGAATTAACGCAATGTAAACCATGGTGGAATTA